AGTGGCTCAAAGTGAAGGCCCTGAGTTCAAGCCCCAGTAACACACACACACACACACACACACACACACACACACACACAAGAAAGAAAAGAAAGAAAAATAGTCCCAGAAGTAGAATGAGTAGGGCATCCATTCCCCATTTCCACCTGAAGGGGGTCAAGTCAAGTGGTAGATGGGACAGAGTTTCCATCTTTGAAAAAAGTACTTTTAACCCCCTCCTTTGGAGGAATTACATTTGTTAAAACCTTTACACTCGATCTTGTTAATGCATACAAAATTCAGTAGTCATTTTGGAGTTACTGAGTTTTCCATTAAATTGCTTTAGCCTTTGGACTTATGGGCAGCAACTCACAGAAGCAGTGGTACAGGGCCTGCCATCTGATGGGATGGAATATCCAGTACCAGTGGCTTCTCTGCTGGTGTGCTTAAGGAGGTGTTATTGCCAATCCTTACACAAACATATGTAGAACATATGTCGAAGTTTATTATTCATTAATGAGGTGACTAGCAGATAAAAGTGTGCCAGTTCAAAATGAGTTTAGGGCTGACTTCTGTTTTACTTCCCACGGTCAAAGAAACATCATATTCTTATCAGTGATAGGGTTAAATTTGTGACGTGAATGGTTGGGTTAAATTCCAACATGAACTATTAATCATAAATAACAAACAGTTTATCTGTGAAGCAAATGATAAGCAAATAGATCTTTGGCTATTAATTAGATGTGCCAAGATACAAGTTTTTATATAGTGATAAGGCGCCAAGGCACCCGGATGCCAAATGAGGTCAAACAGAAGTCAGCTGGCAGAGCTTAGAGTCTTACTTTTTTTCATGCGAAATTTTCTAGCATACAATTAAAGATGTTGAACATATTTACTTAGTTCTCACTTTGGGGACAAAGTTTTTCTTTCACAGCGTCTGTATCGCCTGTTACATAGGGAGGAACAGCCTGCCCACAGACACGTTTGAGGACTGAGAAGAGTGAAATGGATGTAGAGTCCCTGTGCTCCGTGAGCCCGTGTGGCCAGCCTGGAACAGTAGCTCTGGAGGGGCCCTTGGAGAACATTGCTCAAGGACTCAGGGGAGGCCCAGCAGCTGTGCCAGACCAAGTAATCAGACACCAGAAAAATAAGTTGAAAAAGTTGTCTTCTCAGATATTTTCAGTTGGAAGAAGAAAACTACTTTAATTTCATGCCATGTAAATTCGGTGTGTTGTGGTTTAGTATTGCTTTTAGTTTGCAGTGCATATGTGGAGGGATGGGTACCCTAATTTCTGTGCTTAGGGTCTCTAATCATATTTATCCAGCCCTGCTGAGCAGACGTTAGGAGCACAACACCTTGCCTTTCTTCTTGTCTGTCTTTATCTGTTTTTGTGATTGGGGTGTTAAATACAGTTTCATTTGCATAAGAGTAAAATTGGTACAGTCTAGGACATAGGTTACAGGAAGTGTTTCATGTATTCATCTACTTGCTCTGTTTTGTTTGGTTTTAGTTAGAGGTAGTGTCATGGTCCAAGTATGTGTTTGAATGATTGTTCAGGAAGGGGGTAGGATTGAAAATGGTGGCGACCCTTTATTTCATACTATCTGTGAAATAGGAATGGCTCTAGCTTTTACTATTCCATGATTTGTGATTGTGGGTGAGCCCTGAGGCCTGAGTTCCTGTAAATGACAGGTTTTGCTTATGAAAATCAGTCAGGGAGATTATGTATCCTGGCATCTGAAGTCCCAGAGACTGTTTGATGTTAACAGGCTTACTGGAAGGGCTTTTGTGGGGTTCTTTTGGCCTAAGGCAGGCTGGTTGTTGATGCAATCAGAAGACCACAAGAATTATTTCTCCCACCCCTGTGCCTCTTTAACAGTTTGTGTCTCCTGTGACTCATGCTTCTGTGTGTCAGACCCTGGAGAAAGTGACTCCATCCCTGGCTGAATCAGGGCCAGCCTGTGCCTCTCTCCTCTGCAGGCCCCAGCCTGATTGATAAATCTGTGGCTCTTGGGAGCCTGGCCAGAGGCTGCCTTCATCTTGGAGCTTGCACAGTTCCAACCAGTGTGACCACACAGCACCTTAAATCTTAGTGCTAGGAAGAGTCTGAGAGACCTTAGAGACTGTTGAGTTCAGCAGCTCTCAAACCTGGCTGCACATTCCCATCTCCCGGGTGATGGGACAAAATGCACCTTTCCATCCTTTCTCCAGTCTTCTTCAGTAAGTCTGGATTGGGACCCAGAAATCAGGATAGAACTACTGTCCTATCCTATGGTGATTTACATTTACTATGGTATACATGGCATACATTTGGTGACCCTTGATCACTTCAGATCATAATTTTATTTAAAAAGTATACAAATATTTGCCATTTTTAATTCAGAGAATGATAAAGAAAACAAATCCCAAATCTCATTTTCTCCTCAACCTAGTTGGAGTGAAAGGACTAGACATGCAGTCCTCAATGGGGCTGTCTGAGAACCTCTTTAGAGGACCAAGTGGGGGGATGAGATATGAATCCCTTACTCCAAATTGACTGTTTCATGTTTGAAAAGTCATATGGTATAAAAACATGAAGAATGAAAAGCCAAACCTCTTATACCAGGTTCCCAAAAGATAACTATCATTAACCCTTTCTTGGGATTATTCTCAGAAACTATTTTTCATGAATAAGTCCTTTCCTAAATCTACTTAATTCTACAAAATCTGATCAAAGGAATCATCCTGTGTATACTTGTGTATCCCTTGCTTATTTTTTTCCACTTAAAATATTTGGAAGTTGCCAATGTCAGGCTCCTTTTTTTTTTTAATGGATTCTTTTAAAATAACTAGTACATAATTTATTTTTTTAAACTCAAATGCTTATCAGTTATTTCTCCTGTTTAATTGAAATATTGTACCGTTTGGCCAACATCTCTGTACCATATGCCTACTCCCCAGTCATCCTTTTATTCCCTGGTGGCTGAGGAATAGGGGGATGATACACTCCTCAAACACGGAGTCTGTGTGTGGTTCTCTTCTGATCTCTCTCCACCTTCTTACAAAGTTACCAGGATTCAGTCATGGGGGTTTCTCATCTGATCCTAATCTCCCCTCAAAGGCCCCACTTCTAAATACCACAGTAGGATTAACTTTCTGCCCTCTTAATATCTCATAGTAGGGATTAAATTAACACTTGAACCTGTAGAGGACACATTCAACTCATCTAAATCATGACATATGGATATACCCTACTTTATTTTACTATTTGTGGACACTTTTGTTGTGTTGGTTGATATAACAAAAGAAATGCAGTAAATGCTTATATATATATCTTGGGCACTCTACTTTGGATATGGTGAAAATACCTTATTTAGTAGCAACAGTGGGCATCCAGCCAAAAGAAGGAGAGAAGAAAAGCTGGTGATCAGATTAGAAAAGGAAACAGGACTGGAACTAAGAATTTTACTTGGGGTTTAGAGCACAGAATTATAGTTCTCAGATTCAGGTGAAACCAGAAAAGATTGTTTGTTATAGTCTCATGCCCTCTGGGCAGGAAATTTACTATATCTTTGGTTCTTAAGCTGTGGGCTGAGGTGCCCTGGGGAGCCAAAGTGAACTCACTGAGGAAAGAAGGTGGGCGTTGCATGATCTTAACATTTTTAACAGATTAGTGACAGTGGGCGTCTGTTTTTCAGACATGGTGAGAATTGCTAGATCAAGCTACTTTGTAGTTTAACGTTGTACCCACTACATTCCTTTTTGTGATGTTACATTTTATGAAGTTAAGCTTTTGATAGTTGCCATGGTATGGCAAGTACTGGACAAAAAAATGTGGAATAGGAAAAAAGGATGCATTGTCTAATCTTATTCCAAAGTTTGAAAAGTTGTCCAGTGATTGCATTTCATTAGTAAGAAACTGGCTAAGAATGAAATAATATTTTTGTCTTAATTTGTATATATTTTTCAACACCTACTAAATTGTTAGGACATAAATACTTATTAAATCGTTTCAGTTTAATTATGTAATTTACAGACTGCTAAATATTTCTTTTGGCCTAGGGTGCTGTGAAAAAATTACCAAGACACTAAGGTTGCTGTGAATCAAAAATCACAGGGAACAACTGATTTACATCCTTATCTATCTGAACTCTTTTAGCTGCAAGGGGAGACACCAAATGGATACTGGATTAAGCAGAAGCAAATTATTTTTGGCCTCTATGTCTGAACTATCCAAGATTATAGAAGGCATCAAACTTGGCTGGGTTCAGCTTACTCACATAAGCATCAAGGCTTCTTCTTTCTATGTCTAAGACATGCATATGAGCAAGATAGCCCTGTCCTTTTCAGATTCACATCCTTTCAATTTAACCATTCCAGCAAAAAGAACCTCTTTTTCCAAGAGCTTGTACATATAAGTACTAGGGAGGACTTTGTTTGGCTAGCCTGGGTCACTTGCCTGTCCCTGAATGTGGTTATGGAGATTTGTAATGGGTAAGCCTAGGTCACAACTCCATTCTTGTGCTTAGTTGAGTGCCTCAAATAAACTACACAGAAAAGGTAGTTTCTCCTTAGAAAAGAGGGAGTTTTGTTACCAGGAGAATAAGAAACAGGGTACAAGACCAAAAACAATGAGTTTCTCATTGTTACCAGGGAAACAACCTTGTAGAAATAAAGCATGGAAGCTCTGGAGTTCCATCCATCTGGCTTCACTCCCTTGGTCAAGTTAATGACATCTTCATCTTTTAAGGCATTGACTCTTTGTCTGTAAAATGGGCGTAAGGGCCAAGAAGCAAAATCAGACAGTTATTAAAGTCCCTCCCTCATAGGGTTAGTGGTTGGAGGAGGACTGAATGAGTTGCACAGGCCTATAACAGAAAGCCCCTAGGAAAGGCAGCCACTACTATTCGTGTTCCAGGAACCTTAATGATCACATAAAAGGGAAGTAGCTCAAGCTTTTGACTTGTGGAGGTTTTCTTCCAACTAAGGAGGCAGAGAAAGAGGGCACACCAAGCTGACTTTTCTTTTCTGTCTATTGCAGATTGAGTCAACATGGAGGCCATCAGCCACCCCTCTGTGGAAGTGGAGCTTCCCAAGCACATCCTGGATATCTGGGTCATTGTCCTTATCATCCTGGCCACCATTGTCATCATGACCTCCTTGTTGCTGTGTCCAGCCACTGCAGTCATCATCTATCGTATACGGACTCATCCAGTCCTCAATGGGGCTGTCTGAGAACCTCTTGAGAGGACCAAGTGGGGGATAAGGATATGAATCCCTTCCCTCAAACTGACTGTTCTTAGAAAAACAATAGGAAAGACTTTGGAGGTTGGACCTGTGTTTCACTTTTTATTCTGTGGCTGGCCAACTGTGAATTTTGTCAAGATAACTGAGTTCCAGGTTCTTTATTTTCAACTAGGGGTTCTGATCCCTTTCCTTCCTACCTCATGGGATTGTGAGAATCAAATGACTTAGTGGAGGTGAAAGCTGTTTGTGAACAGTGAAGCCACCACAGAGATGTGTATGTGTTATGCCAAGTGTTGAGAAGCTTTTTTTCTTTTTTTGCCCTACTGGGGCTTGAACTCGGGGCCTACACCTTGAGCCATTCCACCAGCCCTTTTTCTGTGATGGGTTTTTTGAGATAGAGTCTCGTGAATTATGTGCCAGTCTGGCTTTGAACTGTGATCCTCCTGATCTCTGCCTCCTAAGTAGCTAGGATTACAGGCGTGAGCCACTGACGCCTGGCTAAGAAGCCTTGAAGGACCAAAGAACCTACAAGCTGGTGATGGCATTAAAGCTGGTGAGATTGATGCTGGGGACTGCAGTCTTTGCCATTGCCCCTAAGGTCAAACCAGGCAAAGTGCACTCCCTCCACATTCCAATGGGCCAGCAGCATACTCGCTGAAGTTATTTTATTTGAAGTAATTGTTCTTCCATTTTTTTTTTTTCAGTTAGGGTGAAGGGGGTCTGAACATGACAGCAGGAGGGAGACTGGTAGAACTTTCCAGAATCTTCTCTGTGCCAGAGTCTCTGACCCTATGTAAGGTGGGAGAGGGCTGGGCCATTATTTGGCAGTGCCAAGGGAGTTGAAGTGAAGGGCTTCTTTCTGCACTAGAGTCTTACGTCTCTGTTAGCTTTCGATACCTAAGCAATGTTGGGAAATGCCGCGTGGCTGAGTTCCCTGCCCAGCTTTCAGGGTCTTCTGCCCCCACTGCCTCCTGTGCCCCCAAGTTAGAGACATTGTACCCTTCTGTCCCAGCTCCTGCTATTATTAGCTCTGGGTAGACTCCCTCCACTCCCTCCCACCAGGATTGCAGCCAATGTAAGGTAACTATATTTTAAGAAATATTCCCAGGACTTTTTGAATCAACTCAAAACAGTGATGGTTATTTTAGGCGCTATGATTTATATATTTATATAGAGATATTTCTGAACCACTTAAGCTCTTGAATACCCAAATCAGGAGCGTACTGAGATTTATTAAATTATGTAAGACGATAGCCTAGATATTAGGATATGATTATATGGAAATCATGCTTTTACTTTGATCTTATTTTGTTAATGTACACAACCAATGTCCAATAAAATGGTAGAATGAGCATCTCTGAGGTCTTTCTTTAAAGAGCACCTATTAAACTCAGAACTCAGATAAAAGTATTCCACTGGATTTATGGGTCCTAGAGGCAGTTTGAATATAGGAACAGAAAGGGAAACAGAAGAATCACATTGATTCCAGCTCCAGGGTTCTAGCTTCAGCATATGGGTAAGGTTGTACAGTTTACACACACACATAATAAAGGGAGGAAGAACAGATTTTTGAGGTAAGGTAACAGTGTTAGACATGTGCCTCAGGCGCTTGTGATGTGCAGGTGGACACTTTCAGGATGTAGTTGTTTCAAAATCTGGTTCTGTTTTTGGGAAGGATTTTATGATTGGAATTATGGTTTGGGGATTATAATATATGGTAGATATGCTACACAAGAAGATACCTGCCAGAGAGTGGTATAGACAAACTATATGGTAATTCTATTTTCAGTTTCTTGAGGAATGTATGTATGGATTTAGTGGCTATACTAATTTACATTCCCACCAAGAGTATATAAGGTTCCTTTTCTTCTCACATCCTCTCCAGCATTTGTTGTTTGTTTTCTTTTTCTCTTTTTATTTTATTGTTGTGCTGGGTAGGGGTACATTGTGGTATGTACAAAGGTTCTTATAGTATATCCAATATGATTGTACTTGAATGTTTGTTTTCTTGATGATTGACATTCTGACTGGGATGAGATGGAATCTCAGCATAGTTTTGATTTGCATTTTTTTTATGGCTAAGGTTATCGAACGTTTCTTCATGTGTTTATTGGCCATTTTTACTTCTTTTGTGAACTGTCCGATTTGATTACTCATTTATTAATTGGGTTAATTGTTCTTTTGATGTTAATTTTTTGAGCTCTTTATATATTCTTGATATTAATCCTTGGTTCAATGAAAAGTTTGCAAAAATTTTTTCCCATTCTGTGGGTTTTCTTGATTCTGGAAATTGTTGCCTTTCATGTGCAGAAGCTTTTTAATTGACAACTCCATTTGTCAGTCCTTCTTCTTATTTGCTGAGCTATTGGAGTCCTATGCAAGAATTTGTTGCCTATACTGTGGGCAGTTTTCTGACACCTAGCTTGCAGGTATGGTAGTCTTCCTGCCACCCACAGCAGCTTCCCAGTTATACTGTTAGCTGGCTAAGTTAGCAGTGTTGATCTGGGAGGAATTCTGTCTGTTTCGCCTTCTGTGCTTCTACCCAATCCTTTTGATGATTTTAAGCATGTATTTCCTTATATTGAAGTTTTTTTTAAATTTAGGTTTGCTAGAGTGAACCTTGATTGGTCCACTTTAAAAAAAATAACTATTTCTATCAATTAGTGACCTAGCAATTCCACTTTTTTTGGCAGTACTATGTTTGAACTCAGGGTCTTGTACTTGCTAGGCAAGTGCTCTGCCACTTGAGCTGTGTCTCCAGCCTGTTTTGCTTTTAGGTCATTTTTAAAGATAGGTTCTCCCCATTTTTGCCTGGTACTGACGTGGATCATGATCTTCCTACCTACGTCTTCCTGCATAGCTGGAACCATAGGCATGTGCCTGTGATTAAAGTGGGATCTTGCTAATTTTTGGCCTGGGTTGGCCTCAAACCATGATTCTCTGGTTTTCACCTCCTGGGTAGCTGGGATTACAGGCATGAGCCACCACCCCCTATCTAGTAGTTCCTCCACTTTTCCTCCCCCACCTCTTACTCCTTCTCCCCTTCCTCCTCCTTCTCTTCGTTTTTGCTTTGTTCTATTTATTTCCTTGGGGTGGTAGTGGAGAAAAGGTTTAAAAAGTTTGTTTTCTACTGCAAAGAGCTTTTCCCAAAAGTGGGGATTCATTTTCACTACACATGAATACGGATGAACTCTGTTATGAACACACTGTTCTGACTTTGCTGAAAATCGGAATTTAAGGTAATTGTGTAATATGTCTTTCTGAAATCTAGTGAATTCATTTGGACAAATGAGTGTTCCTTGTGTTCTTGTTTACACATGAAAGGAACTGGCACTTTGGCTTCAAGAACAAATTGAAAAGAATCAGAAAGCCAACTTGTCTTTGATTTGAGTCTGGACTATGTTATTGAGGAACCATTCCTCAATAATGTCCTCAAACATTAAGTATTCAGTGAAACTGCAATTAATTAAAGGACTGTTGATTCTAAGAACTATGATAACAGAAAGGGAATGAGGGAAGAATTCTAAGTCTGGAAACTAAGTTCAGAGCAAATTATCAGTAATCTCATCATTTTCACAAAATCCGTAAATAAAGTAGTGGATGAGAATTATATGGATAATGTTAAATAAAAAGTGCATATAGAACTCAGAAATAATTTTTCATTAAATTTGCCACTTATTTCTAGTTCAATAAAATGTTCATAAGGAAAATAACCACTTAATACAGAAGAGGCATTACATTGTTGCTGTCAGAACTTCTTTACAACAAAACAGTGGCCACTAATCAACTTCTCTGGTTACATTGAATTATTTGTTTTGAAACAGGTAACTTTGTAAGTTGAACATTTATGTTGTGCCTTAAAAACTCAAGGCAGAAAGTAAAATAATAGAAAGCCAGAAATGTCATCAATATATCTAGAAGAAGTTTGCTTGTAGTTTTTTTGGTGTCTAAAACCTTTTGCCACACATGGCACAGATGAACTTTTTGTAGGCACAGTCCTGTCAATTATGAGAACCCTGTTGATTTATGGTGCTTTTACAGATTTCAGGTGGAGAAATTATTCTTTTCATATGCATCAAATCTTGCTTTTTATGAAGTCAAAATTTTATTTTCATTCAGCTTTCTTCCACTACTACTTTCTATGGTGTTTCTCATACCATCCTTCCATGTATCTGGAGTGACAACAGAACCAGGTTTCTTTTCACATTTTTTACACACCATCCTTCTGCCAGCTGTTCCTCAGCCACAGAAGCAACAGCAGTTTGAAAATATCAACACTACAACCTCCTTTTTTTTTTTTTTTTTATATAGTGAAAGTGATTGTGACGTCTATTAGGAAAAGAATACACTTTCAATAGACAGAAAGCAGGTTGTCTGTAGGGTGAGAATGATATTAACCTTTGGGGTTTGAGTATTTATTGAGAGTGCCCATGAAGAAAGTCCTACCCCTAGGTCCGGACTGTAGGACTGAGGTAACAGGTAAGCAACAGGGTCACGAGGCCAGGAGAAGTTTACAGAATTGCAATATACAAATGATTATTGGGTTCACCTTACCTGTAGTGTATGGTTTATGGACCTGGGTCTTTGTGCTAAGTTAAAGAGACCCTATCTTAGGTTTGAATAAAGTCTTTTACTAATCTTTAGGTGGGTGGGGACTAAAAAATGTCTTGTGACATCCCATGATGTTGGTGGGCTTTTTGATCTTAACAGAAGTTTGTCATGTGTAAGGTGGGAAGTTTAATTACAATGTTTTTTCTTAGAGACCTTGTGGTCTCTTTCACCCATCCTGGAAGAATCCTTCATTTTAGGTTCCCTTTTCATAGACCCATCACTCATAGCTAACTACTACCTATCATTCCCCTCTCAAGAACTCAAGACCCTGAAATATTTTAGGGAATTGGAAGTTGAAGTCAGCCTTTGGCTACTTTCTGCTGGTATGGGGCTTAGGCCTAGGTCAGTAGTCTCTTGCCATTGCTCTCTGTCAGTGGGGACAGAGATGGTCATGGATGATCCAGGGGGGCCCCCATAGAAGGTGGTGTATCCTTTGAAGATTATAACCTGCAGTAGTTGTTAAGGAGGAGGAGCCATGCTGTGGAAATGCAGAGTAACAAGTTAGGGTCGGTGTGATACAGCAATAAGCACAGCAGCAGAGTAAGAGTCCCTCACAAGGTGATTATAACCAGAAGCAATATTGCATTTTTCACCACGTGAATCCAGAGGAGCAAGAGCACTAGAGATCCCCAATCTTACAGCAGAGTCAGACATTGTATTGATCTGAGAGTAGAGGTCTTTTAGTGCCTCAGATGTACTGGCCAAAATGTCTCAGAGTTTAGTAGAGTTAGCCTTTGAGCTGTATCATTTGTAGTTTTATGGCCTGGAGACAAGAGGAAACAAATTTG